TGTAATAAAGTTTGCTTGCGAGCCACTATCGAGCAAACAGCGAATAGTTTGTTCCTTGCCACGAGCATCCCTAACCATAATTACAGCGGTCGATAACAAAACCGTGAAGTTGTTACATTGCTTTACGTTCGGGCGTGAATCTTCCATGCTCGTAGGTAACGAAGCAATGGACGCGTGACACTTTAGTGCATTGTCAGCGCTCGACGGCTCTCGTGGTGTCGTCGTTGTTTCTCGGGCCGATACAACTGGTCTTGGATCAGGTGAACGCACGGGGCTCGAGTTTGGATCGCTAGAACCCGCGGCACTGTTATCGCTCGAAAGTTGCGACGAACTATTATTTTTGCGATTATCGAAATGCAAAAGCGAGTGGTGTTTATTAAAACAGATTTTACATGTTGTTGTAGAATTACAAGTACTGACACGATGTTTTATACTCAAACAATTAATACAAGCACTATATTCTTTGGCAGACCTAAAGCGATCCCCAGGCGACATATGAGAAAACGACGGACATTTATATAAATGTTCATGTACGATATTACTACATAAACACTTACCCGGTTTATTAATAACTGTGTATGAATGCGGTTGCGGTATTTTATGAGATTTATCAAAGCTAAGCGATTTTTTGTTTACAATTTTACTATTAAAGTTAGTATTATTCGACCCATATAGAGTTTTAGTATTTTGTAATATGCGATATTGTCCTCTAACGAATTGAACTAAACCTTCAAACTTTGGTATTATTTCTGTACAATTCATTTCGAAAAGTCGAGCGGTTTCACTATCAATCTTTTTTATAGCAATGTGAAATAAAATAAAATCTGCGAGGTTGTCAATCATAAGATTTTTTAATGCATTTGCGGACGAAACGAAGTTATCTGTAAATGACTCGAAATTATTAATAGATGCACAACTAAATGATTTGTACTCGATCATTTTATTTAAATATGCGGAGGCTAGCATGCGTTTATCTTCATACTTTTCTATAAGAGAATCGAAAATAATTTGGTAATTTTTTCCATCTGGGGAAATACCAGAAAATGCGGACTGTGCCTTATCAGATAATTTACCTAGTAAATAGTACAGTTTTTCCGAATCAGATAATGAATTATTATCATGAACGATACTTTTAAAGTTAGCGTAAAACATAGGCCAATTGCGAATGTCACCATCGAAAGACATAATTTCAATGGGCGGTAAGCGAATTTTTTGTTTATCGGAATTACTTGACGAAGCGGCAGGTACAAGTGAAGATTTTGTCTTATAAGAATCATAATAGTATTTAATGCGGCAGTATAAATCTTCAAATGTTGACCATGAATGCGTATCTATTTTGGATTTCGAATTTTGTTTAAGAAGAAAGGTATTATAGCTATCTACTGCGTCGCGAAATTCAGTGCGTATTGTATCTAGATTGATACAAGCACACAAAAACGTCTCTAGTTGCTCATGACCAGAGTTAACCTTTTGATACAAGTCGAAAATATTCTGTATGCGGGCGTAGATAGTGTTACGGCGCGATAAAGCTACTTGAATTTCTATTTCAAAAGGTGCATTACTTTCGGTAGCCATTACGATAGGTATAAATTATTTATAGTTTAGCGAAAATAAATTCAAATCGACAAACTCGAAAGTGAATTATTACGAATAACAATAAATGAGCGGCGAAGATAAATATAGTATTATATTTATATTTGTTTATAGCGGAAATGGTTAAGCGAGCGAGTCGTCTAACGTAGGTAGGAAAGGGTTTTATGTGAACCTACCCAATATATGCGGACGATAATTATTTAATAAACGAAATGGTACGATAGTAATATGCGGACGATAATAATTGATAATGCGAAATGCGGGATTTAATAGTTTAGGTGCATAACCGACCGTAAACTAGAAAATAATACGAAAATATTTCTTTGGAGCGGAGCGGAAAATGAGCGGTAGATCCGGCTCGAAGGACCAATAATGGTGAAGCCGAATGCGGTAAAGGATATCTGGTGGGGTCGAAACCCCGGAGAGTGGACTGTAGGTGTGGTTCGAAGTATTAAGGGGGTTTGGTTAATGGGATAGGATGAAAAACACTGTGCTTACTTGAGGGCCTCGATGGTGGCGCTGGCTCATACGCCGGCTTCTCCTGCAGCAGTCTTGTCCTGATGCCAGCGGTTTAAGATGGCGGTCAAGAAAGTCCCTTTTGATAGCTATCACTAATCACACACAAACCTCCTATTTGCGAAAACTGTTCACTTAAAGATTGTTTATTAATCTTCACACTTATTTATATGACTTTAATGCGGAAAAATATCTATATCACAATTGTTGCGGAGCGATGAAAAATACGACCATTTCGTCCTTACGCGGTGACAGAACTTTTTTCTTTTGTTGATGCGGTGACAGCCTGCTGACAGAGCCATTTCCTTCCGGCCATCCGTCGTTGCAGGCAAATATATTGCGTCTTCTTCCCTCATAAGCATAAGGCACAGTGTTTGAAGGAGAAGGATCTATTGGGATGCGGTTAATTCGAAAAGAGAATGACACGGTATGAAATTTAGAGACTAGAATATGTTTTGGCGTTACCAACGTTTAAAAAACAAGTGTAGCAAACACTACCCAAATTAAATTACGTTAAAATATCTTCTGTCTTTGTGTATCACACCAAGGAATAATCGTGACGAAAAATCTACCACGTGTAGTCAGCCGGCTCTTTGGGTATTACATGCGGGCAATCCCCATATTCTGTAAACCTTACCTACGAGATAATTGGGAAAATAGGAGAGGTTTGGCCTGGTAGGAAAAGGAGCTATAAACAGGGACTGCGTTCCATTTGGTCGGTTAGGATCAGTTCACACTTAACCAAACAAAATAAATCTCTATTACACGATACGAATTCGACCATAAGATCAGATCAGAAGATAAGATTACACTATGAAAGGAGAAGACCAAAAACGGTCAGAAGCTATTGTGTTTTGTATTTTTTCATCCCACCACCTCGGAAAGTGTAATTTTGCGCTTCGAAATCTGGCTGGAAAATTCTATTTTATTCGCTTGAGCGGCAAAGTAGATTTGAATTTAGAACATCACATATAATGAGTACTCAATATAATTGTAAATTCAAAACGTCATTAAACCTATTTAATGTAACCTCTATGGTGCCAAATTTATGATTAGAACTTTTTAAATTGTGAAAAAATTTAAATTTGGAACCTTCTTGGTTTCTTTGTTTTTTTTGCGTGCTTCGCGCCATTCTAGTTTTTCACGTTTTATTGCTTAATATAATTAACATAACCTAAAAACTGTACAAAAAAAACAACTAAAATGAGTGACATTAGCGACGATGAAGTTTATCTAACGCCAACTGAGTTAACTGAAACAGTTAATAATGCGCAAATGAGCCTTCTCCCTCAGCAATCACGAGAGAAGTATTTGAAACAGTACGATATATTTAACATGTGGCGACTAGCTAAAGGAGCAAAAACTTTCTCCGAAAACGTTTTGCTGGCATATTTTATAGAATTATCTGAGACCAAGAAAGCAAGCACGCTATGGAGTACGTATTCAATGCTAAAATTAACAATTAAGATGAAGAAAGACGTTCATATCGACACCTATCATAAATTAGTGGCATTTTTAAAAAGAGCCTCATCTGGTTATAAACCAAAAAAATCGAAGGTTTTCACAGCATCTGAAATTGCAAAGTTTATTAATGAAGCACCTGATTCCGTATATTTAGCGGCAAAAGTAAGTCAATACGTGTAATTTTTTGTTGTTGATAAAATTGTACATAGTACTTACAATATTTTTAATTTGATTAATTTATTTACGATTATAAATACTTCTTTTGTTACAGGTTGTTCTTATTATTGGTATAACCGGAGCATGTCGAACAAATGAACTTACACTACTTAATGTCAATAACGTATCAAAATATTCTCATAATTCTGATGAATTGCTATTAATTAATGTACTAAATACCAAGACAAAAAAAGACCGCAACTTCGTTATTCGCAAGGAATATGTAAACATTGTTCAGAAATATCAAGCTTTACGTCCTTCTAACACCCCAATTGAACGATTTTTTCTACAATATCGCAACGGAAAGTGTATCCGACAACCTATGGGTCAGAATAAAATTGGCAGTATTCCACGAGAAATAGCAACTTTTCTCGGACTTTTAGAACCCCCGTTATACACCGGTCACTGTTTTAGAAGAACCTCAGCCACACTTTTGGCCGAATCAGGGGCTGATCTTCTATCGCTTAAGCGCCATGGAGGCTGGAAGTCTAATTCGGTTGTAGAGGGATACATAGAGGATTCAATCCAAAGTAAATCAAAAATTTGTAATAGTATCGTGGAGGCCATAACGCTGAAAGAACCTCTGTCAGATTCTTGGTCTCGCCCTTCTACATCTAAAATGAGCCCCCATAAGATTGGAAACAATAGCCCTCTCTCGCCAACATTTACGCCAATAGAATCCAATGAATCGGCACAACTATTTAAAATTACTGATACGAGTAGTTTACCACAAAACAGCGCACAATTCACAAACACCAACATAACATTACCTAACAAAAATATTAAACTTAACATAAGTAACTGTAGCAACGTTACATTTAATATTTCTTAATTATTTTCTACTTCTTATTATTTTCTTCAATTTATAGATTATCTTAATGTGTTTTAATTGAAATAAAAATATTTTGTCATTATAAATTGTTTTCTTTTTCATTTTGTCATTTCCTCGCTGAGGTGGGATGAAAAGTTACGTATTGCACTCGAGTGGAAAGATTTTTCACCTTGTGCTCGTTTGTTTCCCTCGCTGACGCTCAGGATTCTAATTTAGAATCACTCGCTGCGCTCGTGATTCAACTTTAGAATCCTTCGCTTGCTCGGTCATCCAAATCGAGCACGCGGTTAAAAAGGAACTTTCCACTCTTGTATAATAAATAACTATTATCCTCGTCATCGAAAAAAATCCTGCAGGTGAATATATTACCACATTTCAGCCCACACGGAGCTCGCGTGTCAGGAGTAGTGGAGGAGACTCCTGGAAGACTTGAATACGAAGTGGCCTTGTACAAGGAAGCCCCCCCGGTCAACAGACACTCCAACCACTCCGTGGACCTGCCAGTCGACCAGGTAACTGCTGTACGTTGGTTCCATTCATAATTTACCTTGAATCTGAAACCTTTCGGATGATATTATTTGAATTTTAGGTCATGAAAAGTATCTGTGTATCTTTGAAAATCATTTATATTCGTTTATACACAAGGTTAGCGTTATGAAATTTTAAAATTTCTGACAAAGCTCTGACATTGTATAAAACTCTAGAGACATTTTAGTCACAAAATACAAAAACTCTGCCGGGGTGGCGGAGCAACGGACGGACTTGTAAAATAAATACTTATTGGATAATTCTTATATTATTCTTTTCATAATGCAAATACTAAGTTAATAAAAGCTAGAAGAAATTGAATGCCAGACAAAATCTGATAAGTCAGTGAATGTGTGGTGCCTACCTGTAACTAAATTCTAACTTTAGGCGGTCCCGATCGGCACGAAACTACAGTTGCGCGCGCGCATCAACCCGGAGTCGGCGTGGCGGCACATCAAGCTGCTGGAGGTGGCCGTCTCCCCTGACCCCGACCGCCCGCACGCGCCCGGGTCCGTGCTACTCGTCAAGGACGGGTGAGACATAACTAACTATGTTAACATTGTAACAATAGGCGGTCCCATCGGCATGAAGTTGCAGTTGCGCGCGTGCCTCAACCCGGAGTCGGTACGGCGGCATATCAAGCTGCTGGCTGTCCCTCCGACTCCGACCGCCCGCACGCGCCCGGCTCCGTTCTTCTCGCCAAAGATGGATGAGACATACTCTCACTATGAGTACATTGTAACTGTAGACGGTTCCTTCGATACGAAGCTGCAATTGCGCTCAGAGTATGGCGCGCGAGAATCATAGAATCAACATGCCCGAGCCTATGACTAAAGCTCGATGCGTATTTGTATAATGCGATTCAAAGAAGAATAGAAAAGCCAATGACCTATATCTGTCAAATGTCCCTTGAAAAGTACGGTTTGTAAAAAAAAACTTGGAACCCTTTTTTAGCACTCCGCTAATTCTAGAATAAAACCAAACATTTGTAAACAAACAATAACAAATATTGATAATTAATATCGGTACATGCATGGTTGATAACCTAAATCGTCAACCAAATGTCCCTTTAAATTGCGTTCAGAAACTCGATTTCAAACTTTTGTTTACATAAAGGATGCATGTTCGTATGTGACCCAGTAATAGTGCATGATTATTCAAAACTACTCCGGTGTTAAAGCAGAAATGAGCGGAATAGAAGAGCTAGATTCTGATTAATGTTTTTTCTCACGGTCTTAATAAATAAATATTATTAAAATTGTGTTTTTTTCTCAATCTTAGCAAATAAATGTTACTAAAAAATGTGATGCTTTTTCTCACTTAATCTTAATAAATAAGTTTTATTAAACAAAAACTTTTTTTTGCTCACTCTACCTATTTGGTTTGAATTGAAAGCTATCATATCACAATATGGCGCCCAGTCGGTCCTATTCTTAGTAGTAGTAATATTACCGCGGCCACACGTTTCGTAGCGAGTCCATATAAAATGTATGAAAACTACAGGAGATATGTGGCGGCGTTGTGTGGCTGTAGCCGGTGGCCCGTGTGCGGCGTTTACACCTATTCGAACTCTTGTGGTTTTTTTTTCTATTTTTTTTGCAGAAGGTGCTGAATTCGAAGTTCGGCCTGCTTGTATTTTTTTTTGTTCCCTTATTCTTCATGCCTCGTCTTGATACAGATGTCGGCAGCACGCATATCTTGCGGGATAGTAGTTTTTGAAAGTTGTTGAAAATAAAAATTTGGGCCTGTTAGAGGTAGTGACAGCTTTTAGAGTAAAGGTTTAACTTTTATTGAAAATTTGGATGGCTTTTAAATTTGATGACGATGGATGTGCTTCTGAAATAGATGTGAATTTGTTGAAACTCTTTGATTTCAGGTGCTTCATTATACATGATAAGAAAAACGGGATCATCATAGGTGGATTTAGTTGGGACTATTTTGTGGGGCGATTTGTAACATAAAATCTCACTTCCGATTTCAATAGCTGCCATTTTAGGCATAAGTTTGATATGCATCACGCCATGACATGCCAAAATGTCGCCATGTCTCTAGAAGCGGCCAGAATAGGGTATTTGACAAGTTTTAGAAAACGATCTCACGTTATTGACTAATGTTTACGGAATCCAAGTGGATTCATCGTTCTGTTGTGTATTTCAGTAAAAATAACCAAATCAAAAACTCCATTTTCAAGTTGCCGCGAAAACGTTTTTCTGGACAATATGGCGTCTTACTAGTGTGTGACGTCACACGACTGTTATTAAAACGTCAAACGATACAATGTAATGTCACTTTAACCGGAAGTTTACTTGCGTGTGACGTCATTTTAGGCTCCTCCAATCCCAAGCGTTTTGGGTCTTTTTCGTGGGTTTTTTGTAAAATTATGAATACTTTGTTTGTAAAAATAGTAAAAACCCCTGCCAATATTCATTCTAAACGCAGATCCTAACAATTGGCACTTTACTTTTAATACTGTTAAATACCCTATTAGATATTTGACATTTGTCTGAAATCCGAATAAATGAAATCGTTAGTGAGATTGCATCTTACAGAATACCAATACTGATGTTGTCAAGTCTATTGGAGCTCATTTCTTATTAAATAATTATGCAGAAACAACAAAAACCGTTAATCAAAACAATGGCAGGTGCCGAAATATGATGCAATGTTTGAAATAGACACGCAGATATATATGAGTTACAATGAAATAAAAAGAGGTCAATAAATCAAAATGGCGAGCATGCAACTACTCGCGTATCAATTGTAATCAAGAGTTGATTCTGATACATACATGATTCGTCCGTATGTACGTGCACTGTACATTATGGAATTACAAAGTATAAATAAATAAATATTTCCAACGCTCACACCAATTAGCCTAGCCCCGAAGTAAGCACTGTAGGCTGGTGTTATACGCGAGTATTTGCGTACTGCTACTGTATATATTGGAAGAACTTAGTAAAAAAGGTATTTCCAATCTATTCGTGATTAGTTTCACACCCTTGCGTTCTGACTTTGTACAGAATGGAAAGACGCGTTTACGTACACAGCATTTAAAAACATAATCATTTCACCTTACCAACCTTTAATATTGCGACAAAAGGTACTTACCTCAGCATTGTGAGCTACTTACTTAATCCTAATTTTGATGTTTGCAATTGTTTAGTACTTAGATATGCAAATTTTTCAATAAATAATTGAAAGTTAAATTTTGCGACCAATTTGTTTATGAAAAACTTGTGACCAGGCTGCAGGTCGTATTAAACGGTATGTAGCAAGTGGCGTCAAAAACTGAACAAAAAACTATTTTCAACTAAAAAAATATACGAAAGTTATCTGTACTCTGATCAAGAGCTAGGGCAGAGCTGATCGTAAAAAACTGAATACTTGACATTCCAGATTAAAAGCACAAACTAGATGTTCACAGGCTTTACGTAGAAAGCGATTGCATTGAATGCAAATCTTAGTGAAGAAACTCAGTAACATCGGTCTCATAATGTGCTTTTACGAGGCAGATAACAATACTTGCCTACTAACTTGAAACCCGGATACATTTCCCTTTTTAGCGAAGCCTACTTTAGTGGGGACTGATAATGATATTAATGGGGTCTGAGGAGAACAATACAAAAATTAAGTTGATGCTGTACCTACATGTCACATGAGTATAGTTTTCCAAAAAAAAGCGATTAAAATGTGGATGTGAAAAACACATAGGAAACAGCTCCTTGGACTAAGGAAAATGACAAATTCAACAAAATTACCTCCACCGCTGGGTATAGACCCACGCTGCTCTACTAATTAAGTTTACAGATAGCTAAGTAAAATTTTAAGTATTGATTGGCTCAATTACTTTACTAGCTACGTAGGACACTGAAACCCTTTAAAATACCTGAAGGTACAAAGTTACCAACTACAATATCACTAACTACATCACAAAGATTTATCTATTTCAATTACAATTCCAAACGTCTGAATATTTCCAGATGCCGAAATCGTGAATACGCCACGATTATTCCGCACCAACCAGCTCGTTACCGGGAGCGACATAACGAAGTTTTCCTGGACTTCGAAGCTTTTCTGCTGGCTTCCATGAAAGAACGATCAACGCTCTGGATACATTCACAGATCAAGGCTTGCATGGATGCTGCTGACTGTCAGCCCGACTACTGCCTGGATTTATATGAGCCATCAGGTAATACGACTGGGCACTCCTAATTTCAAACTTCGATATCACAGATTGACAATAGTACAACTACTGTGAAACAAGGAAACTTCTCGTGAGTGAGACAGGTGTGAGAACCTTAATTCACAAACGTAGTAATTTTGAGAAGTAGGTAGGTAGATAGTCTATCCTCAGACGGTAACAATCCATTCCCGAATGGTCGGTGGGTGATTTAAATCTTTACATTTAAATCACCCACGCGCCGCGTGGTTTTAAAAGCTTGATTGAATAGTAGGATTACCTAATTAAATAAGTATGAACTTACTATAAAGCTGAAGAAAATTATAAACAAACAAAAAATATTCATCAACATATGACCAGCCTATTTGCTTCTCATTATTAGTATAGTACAGTTACAGCACATGCCTATCCTATGGATGGAAACGGGGAAAAGGGATCAAAGCAAGCCCAGGGCAAATTGGTTTCCAGATGGTCAAGAATAGCCTGGAATGACCCGACATTTCATGTGATGTGACTCCCGACAAATAACAAAATATCCCGACAAACGAGCATGACGATAATCATTTTGACAATGGTGTACTCGTGCACTGTCCGCATCTACCAATTGCGAAAGCTGCCTAACTACTTCAATCGCAAACTGAACGCGCTAGCCACTACGCCTTCATGTTTACCTAATTCTGTTAGTTGTAGAATATGTAGTATATTCAAATTCATTCTCACTTCAGGTCACGGTCGCAAACGGAGGTCCCTGGCAGATGCAAATCACCACCACAACGTTACCAACGCAGCACTAGTATCAGACTCGGAGAACAACACAACTCCATTCACTAGATTCAAAGAGAACTTAGAGTATACTGTTGTGATGCCAGGAGAACTGTTCCACAGAACACCACTGGAGAACACTTGTGCGACCTCCATGATGGTCGCGGTAGCGCTGGGATCTTTACTGTTCATGTCAGCTTTATTGGTGAGTTTTGAACCTAATAGCGTTCGTATAAAGTCTTTTTTTTAAACGAAGCATAATAAAACCAGTCGTCTTTCGAAAGGGGTTGGTATTTCAAAAGCTGGATAATAACTTTTATGTAAGCTGATGCGTGGCCCGCATTATTTGTTGTTTGTGAGATTGAGCCTACAACTAAAGGTCATAGATCACCTTAAGGTGAGCTGTGACCTTAAACATCCGGCAACATAGTTCAGATGAAATTGCAGGTAGGCAATCTGCTGCTATTGTTATCGGACAAAATATTTGACCTTATCAATGTTCAAATACTTTATTTCTTAGTTATTAGTATGTAAGACGCATTCATGTATTGTATGCATAAAATGCAAAAGTATGCAAAGGTAAAAATTTATTTGATGTCGCAGATGTATTTTATTTCCGGAACATAAGTACATAATATAGTTATTTACTTCTCATTGCTAGGGTAGGTTACATAATTATGTAGGTCCAGATAATAAGTCGATTTATATTTAAAATTTATGTACATTTTTATAGGTCTTGTGTTTTGTATCGCAATGAATTTGAATTGAATTTTTAAACAATTGTTTACATTTCAGATGTGCTATCTGGCTACAAAATTGAACTCGACGATACTCAAGAACAACAGTATTCAAGCGCCGACGGGGAAAGGGTTCGAACAAATTCTCAGAGAGCTAGCTCACCATTCACTGCCCGATTCAGGATATGCGGGCCGTCCGACCGTTCAATAAGTTATTACCTAGCTTTAAGTCTTATTTCACAAACACGCTAAAGGCTCGGCCATGACTTTGCCGCGTTTCCACACAAGCGGAGCTGCGTGAAGCTGAGCTGTCTTTAAGAAATTGACCAATGGCATTGCATAAAGTACATTCCGTATACAAATTGTGTATTTTGAGCAATGCTATTGATCAATTTACATTCAACTTTAATACTGCTTTCGCTCCCGAAGTTGGGGCCGAGTGACGTGCCGAACGATGAGATTGAATCTATAGTCTACTATCTCATACTGATCAATTAGTACTTAACTTTAAGCCAAAAAGACGGAAGCTTGTGTCATCACCTTGAATACTTTATTAATGTGGAAATATAGCTGGAGCGCCAACAACAGCTCTACTTTAAAAGACCTAAAGTTTGCAATAGGACAGTACGAAAACAAACCTGTGGTTGTACAAAACTAAACACAGACTAAAGTACTAAAAGTCAGTATTCCACTCAGCTTGCGCAATGTGCTAAAATGTTATAGAAGCATACAACGAACGAATCCAGCAGAGACGGGGCTACTGTAAATACAGTCCAGCCAAAATACGCGTAGCATACCGTCGCAGTGTCGCTCATCATTTAGTAATAAGTCCTGGCCGGGCAGTAAAAGAGCGATAATGTAAAATCAGATCATAATTCATTATTTTCACTAGTTACAATAACTGAAATTTTCTAATACATTAGAAACTTAAGGGCCCACTGCATACGGTCTAAAAGGAATTTTCCACCGCGAGCGGAGCGAGCCCATTAATGACTCCGTTTACCTCGCCATACAAGAATGCATACATCTTTTTCCACCAACAAAGAATCGAGCGAAAATTACAAAGAGGCTAAAAAGAGTAAAAATAAGCTCACTCTTTTGCGGTGGAAATCAATACTCCCGAACTCTTTCTCGATAGAAAAGCATTCCTATTATATGTACACAAAGATCGCTCCACTAGACATCCCTAGTTTATTCTTCTTTAGCGGTGGAAAACGGGCATAACAGTCAGAGTACCTTCCGTGTTCTGCGTCTCTGACTCGAGAGTGCGTGCGGTCTAACCAGGGCCGTGCCTGGGTATATGGCCGCCTGCGTGCCAGTCTGTATGGCCGCCCCCAGGATAACATTAAAAAAAACTACTTTAATTTTTAATGTTTATTATTATACACAGGGCATCAAACCGGGAAAAAAATCAGTTTTTGGTTAACCGAAATCGAGAACGAAAATAAATATTGGTTTTGTTCCCAAAACCGGTTTCTGAAAAGAAAAACCGGCTAAAAACCGGTTTTATGAGATTTATATGTTTTTTGCCGATTGTATTTTTGCCCAGTAAACAACTTGTAACGATTTGGCCGCCTCTTAATTTCGGCCGCCTGCGTGCGGTGCACGCAATGAACGCCCGTCAGGCACGGCCCTGGGTCTAACTGCTTTTTGTATGTGTAGAATTCAAAGCCAGCGCATAGATTATGGTGAATGCGGAAGGCAGAACTCTGACCAAGCCGTATGCAGTGGGGCGAGCGCCTATATATTTCTAGACCCCAAGCAAGAACAACTAGCGCGAATGTGAAATATCTTTATGAAATAGGTAAGCTAGTTTGTTCTTACATCACTGCGGGGCACTGCTTAGTTTCTTTGACGATGCGATACGATTACGGTAGCCTGAACACGAACTCATATCGAATTCGAATAGTCTAATTATAGTTCGAACTCGATACGCGTCAAATGTCAAGAAAATTTGTAAAGAAATTTAAACAGCGCCACAAGGGTAGGAACGATAATTAAAAATCTTCCATGCAAAACTTCTGAACATTTGACGCGTATCAAGATCAAATTCAACTATTTGAATTCGATATTGGTTAGGTTAGGTTAGGTTAGGTTAGGACAGATCAGTATCTGTTAGTTTGTTCTTGGGGTACCTACCGTATTCGGCGATACGAATGCGGTAGGTACCTACGTAACGTCAATTTTTCTATGGAAACTAAGCAACGCCCCTATCAGACGAAAGCTGCCAAGCTAGTTTGTAGCTTTAACCATAGGAACTTTGACATGGCGATACGAATACTTTCTCGCTAGTTGTTCGTGCTTGAAGTCAAAAGAGTTAATACTTAGTATACTTGAAAACTGCTCCTAAAAAGAATATTTTATTTATTTATTAAAATTTAAGATTGTAATGATGACACATTAAGCTACACGAGAAAGTAGCGTAACGTAACGCTTCGCTTCCGATGCATCCTATGCTTTACATTCTTTAGGTTACCTATTTTTATAAACATAAAGAAATTTAGCATTAAGTACCTAGATGTAAGCAGCGTATTATAGAACTTATGACTGAAAAATGACTATAGTTATTAAAAAAATAACAATTTTTTTTCCAGTCATGACTATCACCTTTTGGTTAAGCCATTTAATAACAAATTTTAATTGAATTTAAATTTAGCCTTAAGTTTAGTAATAAAAAGAAGAAATAAATGTTATAAATCTGTAGGTATCGGCACTTTTAGAGACGTCAAATAAAAATGCTTATCATAGCGACGTTAAATTCGCAAAGATATTGACAATATTATCTTTAATCAATTTAAAAAATAATTGACTTCTCTAATTGCTGTCATAAGACAGTTTTAAATTAAAAAGAATCCATAGTGTTTTTTTTTATTTATTATTGTTGGGCTCCAATATTAGAGCAGCCATACACAGCGTGGGCAGCTTGAGCTTTGCAGTCGGGATGGACTGCATCAAGCTGCGACTGCATATTTAACTACAGTCTCTTACGTATACACAATAACACGGACACGGGCAGTTGTGACTGCTTGGAGCGGTTGGCAGCGTGGTGAAATGGCAGCTACAAGCTATTTACTTTAAATGCTCAAGCAGTCTGTGAATATTGATCACAACACTGGCTAACTGCTTGAACAGTGCCTGTATGGCCGCTCTTTGCTTTTTTTTCTTTGCTAATACACATCATAGGGATGACGACGAACTTTTTTTCTTCGTCTATCAGGTAGATTATATGAAAGGATTGAATGATTATATAAAATAAATGATTCAAAATTGGACACGTAGCTATTTTTTAATTGACACAATAGAATAGAATAGAATAATTCTTTATTGCAATCAAAACATTACAGAGATATATTGATTTGTAATGTCGCATGACGTCACGTTTTGGTAAATTTTTACTTAAAAGTGACGTCACGAGCCCCCACACTCTCACACTTTGACGCACTTTATCTTTGTAATTTTGTGGTTGATTGACCAAAGAAAAAATACGTTTCCATTATTTTTGAGTGTAACTGACGGACTAAATAGAATTTCCGTTTACTTTAGCCTGTTGTCACCCCTATTTCGAGTCGTACCTATCGTATTTGCATATTTCGGTTCTCAACATCAGGAACACAAGTCGCTTGTTCTACCAGCTGAGAAGGGTTCAATCATTGACAGAGCAAGCTTGTAAGCGTCTCTACCTGCATGTTAAACTTGTATGGGAATAACCACTGTTCATGAGCAGCGGCATTAAAATCCCCCAGAAAAACTATTTAAGCAGTCGAATACCTGAGCTGAGCTTCATCGGCCACCTTACTTAGATAATATAATCGAAGTCTAGTTGTCACCCGCATAAAAACATTTTCACTGAAACATTAGTTTGCAGATTTTTCCGTATTATTTTATTTATACTCTGATTCATTATTTCTGTTAATGGATATTGCGACCTAAAGTGGTGTTATTTTGTGTTAAAAGGATCTTAAGGAACTATTTGCACATTGTAGAATTAGTTATATCTTTAAAAAAAATATTATCCCAGTCAAGAGGAGCCACTACCTTACTACTAAAGACTACTCATGAAAGTTATATACCGTACCGTTAGGTATATAACTTTCTTGGGACTACTTCAAAGAAGCATCAAGAAATCTGACTGGACACATTTCGTGCCAAATCATAATACTTCAAAAAGGATTGGGATACATCACACCCGCATTATTATGTAAATTAAAAGGTGGAAAAATTAAAATATTGAAGACAAGACTGTGTGAACATAGTATTCTTTGCCATTCCTAAGGGGAGAACTTTACAAAATATCAATATGTCAGTGTCAGATTTGATAGATAGTAGAGTATCATTGGAGTTTTTGGCGGGATTTCATCGAGTGCGGTTGGCGTCTTAATTTAATTATTCTTAAATTTGTTCATAGTGGATATTGTGAAATAAAATTGGTGTGATTTTGTGTTACAACCGTCTGGGCACCTGAACAATTAGTGGAATCTTTAAAATATACGCTATTCCGGTCAAGTGGACGTGAGAATTTTATTGTAGTATTGACTACCTCACAGAAGCTTATCGAAAAAGCCAACTCGATATATTTCGTGCCAAACACTCCGAGAAGCATTAGAATGCGTCACACTCACATTCTAATGTAAAAAAAAGGAAGATTAATACAAAAATAAGACGATGGCTGCATGGCTATGCCTTTGCCTTTCTCAATAGAGAAGAATAGAACTAAAAAAAAAATAGAGTATCATTCATCACAGGATTTTCACAACAGTTTCAAAAAGGACGATATTATCTACTTAGTTTCAAAAAATTTGATTCTGTTTGTGTGCACTGTTTTAATGAGATATAAACGTTTAGGCGTGTTTCTATTATGTTATCCTATCAATAACATCTTTCTGACATAAATACAAAATCTTTGCTTTCTGATACAACACAATATTTAAGTGTTGTGTGTACATTTTTAAATTTTATTAAAAAAGAAACAATGAGTAAGCGCTTGGGAAAAGAGACAGTTTCGGGTACTCCAGCGAAACAATCCAAACATTGGTCTATAGGTCTGCTTGAATCTATGAGAGACCCTGAATGTATTGTAAAGCAAACTAAAAAAATTGTTGTGATCCGTGATAAGTATCCTAAAGCAAAAATCCACTATCTAATGTTACCTCATGAGAATATAAGCAGTATTCATAAGTTAAACAGTACTCACATTGATCTATTAAAAGAATTCAATAAGATATATGAAGAAATAAAAATAGAAAATGAAGATCATTCTCTGAAAGCTGGATTTCATGCAGTACCTTCCATGCAAAGGTTACACATGCACATTATAAGCAAAGATATGGTATCCCCTTGTTTAAAGACTAAAATGCATTGGAACAGCTTTACAACTGACTTTTTCATAAATTATGAAGGTATTTGTACATTGTTTTACATCTCTTATCCTTAACTTTGTCTATTATTAAAGAAAAAGTTAATTTTAAGTTCTTAGTGTAGTTTACTTAAATATGCAGCTGTTATGGCTGATTTAAATTTCAGTAAGTAAAGTAGCGAGTTAAATTGGTGAGTTGTTATCAGCATTTGGACAAGGATTTACCAGTTAAGTACATACTACTTTACTGTCCGGTTTTTAAGCTCACTACTGTACTTACAAAACTGCAAATCACCTTTTTCTTTTAATGTGCTTTGGTTATGCACATTAAAAGAAAAAGGTGATTTGCAGTTTTTAACAAATTTTAGTATGGAGATAAACCTTGTTAAAAGAATTGCTAAAATAAGTTATGAAAATCCAATAGGGGTGAAATAACAAAATATTTTTAACACACACCAATTAGCCCAGCCCCAAAGTATGCACTGCCAGGTTTATGTTATAAGATACTAGGATAACAAATATAAATACATACATAAATAAGTATAAATAATGTTGTAGAAATGTAAATGCATTTCTACAACATATTAAACCATCATTACGCACTTTGGTATAAATGCTCAAATTCATCATTAAAAAAATTGCCTTATTGGGATTACAACATAGGATCTCTGAATAGGTGACACCTAAAAAACTAGTCTACATCACGGACCAAAGGTCAGCAAATAGGGGGAATAAGGAAAACTATAATTAACTCCATAATGCAGCTAGAAGTAATAACAGATTAAAATTTGTTATATACCCACTTACAACAAGTACCAACTTATATTTCAGATATTTTAAAGGAGTTGAAAGAGACAGGATCCATTAAGAAAATATCCCCCGATTTACACAAAAAACTTTTAGCAACACCTTTACAGTGTAACCAATGCAGCTTTAAACCCAAGAATATGCCTGACTTAAAAGATCATTTAATGTCTCATATGAATGTATAACATTTAAAGTGAAGAATAGTTCGCCTTGCAGGCACTTGCAGGAATACGAAAATGATGAAATTAGCAATACCGGCTAGGGCATTTATAGCTTAAAAAATTAAAGATAAATTTTTCTTTTTGTTTTGTAAATCCTAGTTTAATTTGATTTTAATAGAGTGTAAATAAAACAAATGATTTTATAAATTGCACTTTAAATTATTGCTTAATAAAACTTGATTAAACCAAAATTTTATTTAGCAAATAAAATAGAATCATACATTGTAACTTAACAAATATTATTTCAATTTAAACACAATTTCTTTAAGCTAACTCAAGTTATTCCAAGACTCACTAATAAGTGTTCTTTAAAAATATATTGGTACATAATCATAAACTGACAGTGGGAGCAGTTAAAGCTATGCCACTGTAAACAGAAAGATCAATAAAGTACCATTATTGGTATACTGGTACCTAATTGATATATTATTATGTCCTGGTTCCACTTTCTCTCATTAGGAGGTACCTAAAGTTAACCTAGCCTACCCTATTTTTTTTTATGACAAAATGATTCATCTCCAAATTTCATAAATCATCTACTTTACATCTTTTACAGAATAGGTTAGACCAGCTATACTCTAAGTGTGTTCCGCGGAACCCTAGGGTTCCGTGATACCTCTGTCGGGGTTCCGCAAGAATTTAGAAATAAAAAAATCAAAACACCTCTCTCTGGTCGCTCCGCGGCTGTGCGGACTCCGCGGCCGCGCGGAGACAAAACGCTATGAATGTTATTTATTTATTTATTTGTATTTGTATAAGCTTGTGTTACATTAGCTGGTACAATATCTCATAAGTTTGGTCTCAACAATTTTATACTTGTACAACGCGTTCGCTCTAAGTTTGCCGGTCTGTGGAATGCGCGTACCCTCCCCCACGTGACAACAAAACTTATAATGTGTCATAGTTTTACCCAAATATCTAACGTACACAATTTTTATTGTTACAATTAAATAAAAAATTTCGAATGTCATACACTCATACCTATCGCCAGCGGCAAACTTAAAACAAATGAGATATATGAATCTCTTTTAGAAATGTCATCAGACACAAGTATGGAGTCATTGTTCAAAACGACGCCTCTTAATGATTTTTGGTGCAGAATCCAAGATGAATATGCAATGCTTGGCCAAATGGCTCTGGATATTCTTCTCCCGTTCCCAACTACATATTTGTGCGAAACAGGATTCTCTACCTACGCAGCCACGAAAACAAAATATCGCAATAGACTGGACGCCGAAGCTGATATGAGACTCCAACTTTCTTCCATCAAACCTGATATCAAGCAATTGATGAAAAATAAAAAACAGTTTCATACCTCCCACTAGTTAGATTTTTTCTTTTTTAATGTTTTCTATTATTGTCCTTACCAAGTGGTGAAGTAAATAATAATTAGTAACGGATACATTGTACTTTTATTATGCTGATTAATATAGAATACACTTATAAAAATAATTGTTTTATTGTAGGGTTCCATCAAGTATTTTGCTTCCCAAAAGGGTTCCGTCATTTAAAAAGTTTGAGAACCACTGGGTTAGACAAACAGAATACAAAGATCTTTTATTTATACATATATTATTATCATCCCATCAACATGTAAAATATTTCAGCTAATCTTTTTACCTTTTTAAATTTCAGCACAAAGTTGTCTTAAAAATATTATTCTTATGTTTTATGTCATAATAATTTACAATAAAGTTCATAAGTATTTTACAATTTTCTATGTTGACTGATTGATTTTATTATTGTCTTAATAATCATTTATTAAGGATAACAATGGATCCATAATGAATTAGGTAGTAACAAACAGATTAAACTTGAAAACTAATGTAAGTCAATAAACACATATGGCTTGAATATATAAATAAATTTAGAGACGTCTGATAGAGATTATAGTCGAGAAACACCGTCACCCCACGATGCTCCTGCCTCCTATAAGAGTGCATGCAGTCGTATCCAGCGAACTAGCATTACTACATTACTATGTATGTATGGAGCTCCCATGTCTTGGCGAAGTCAACTGCAAACCTGTGTCGCCATATGGAGTATTGAGGCAGAACTGATTGCCGCAAGTGAAGCTGCTCGTGAAATAATTTAGGTAAAGTGATTCATAGAAAATATCAAAAAACCTACAGCACAACCGATTCTGAATGTCGATAATGAATTAACTATCAAATTGGCAGAGAATCCGCCATATGAGTTCCAGAACAGAATGAAACACATAAAGCTGTTTCACTTTTTCATGACAAATTAAAATAGGCCAAGATTGGAATGGATAACCAACTTGCTGACATTTTTAACTTAACTACTATATAAGCCTAGATTGATTGGGCTGCAAAGAATGTCTTAACCGAATATGCCATGTAGTCTTCAAAATGTTAAAAGAGAACTCCTAGTGAAGACTATGATAATTTTTGGTTACTATGAAAACCACTTCTAGTTTACTGTCACAACGACTGGCACATTTATAAATAACTATAACAGAATATAATATTGAAATGTTTAATCTTGTTTATTGCTTTTTCTTATCTTTAGCTTAATAAAAGGTTTATCAAAAGATTCACACTCACATGTGGAGCTCCCAAATCTCATACATGTTAAAGAAATATACAGCATATTTATTTAGACTTGGCTTCTAAAGAAATCAAGGCTAAAAATAATAATATTAAAGATTGATTTATGCTAGTAAGCTGTTCCTCTATAAGGTACTTTGCTAGATCTAGGACTGTCCGACTCTGTTAGAGAGCTGGATGTAGTACTCACACTGTCATCTTCTTCTGGACTATTGTATATTGACATGTTACGTCTCTTAAATGTTTTCTTAGCCTCCGAGACAGGTGTCTCAAAACCACTTGTATCATTTGTGCTATCTGATATAAAGGATGTTGTAGGTGAAATAGTTACATTTTGTGTAGTCTCTTCACTTTCATTCTCCCTTGGTGTAATTGGTGCAGGCAGAGTTAGTTTTGAGCATTTCATAGGGGTGTTTGGTGCTGGACTTAGATCATTTTCATTCATTTTACTTTCATTGAGAGATGATCCAGGATCTGCATCTGCACAAGGTTTTGTCATGACACGGCCAGATCTAGCCATGATAACTTGTACAGGATCATCAATGCCAAGCCTCTCACACAAATTTACAGTTTGAGGGTTTAAAACTGGGTTTGATGGTGCTGTTTTGGGTGCTTTTGGATTGTATATAGGAGCAGTTTTGACAAACATGTCTTCTGTGATAACCATAGATGGTAACAATTTAGTAATTGCCTCTTTTTCTGATGCATTTGGTGTAAAAATGTATCTGGAAACAAATTTAAAATAATATATAGTTTAGAGCCTGAATTACATAAGTGGGTGAGTGTTATGTTATGAGTAACTCAATTCTTTAATGCAACCTACCTTTCATTACCACCAGGGCCAGGCATGTGACACTCAACATTTTTGACACTTAAAAGGTGGTTGGTATTCTTCAAAATTGCCAGCCATTCCTCATCATACTTTAATAGTTCATCACCATCATATTCTTGAGGTAAATCTAATATCTGAAGATGTCTTCGCTTGGGTAGACATTTGTCTAATGCCAAAAATTTGGTTTCTTCATTTTCTTCATGTTTTACTAGAGCAACATATTGACAATGCATATGTGCTGCAAACCAGTAATCTGGCTTTAAAGATTGCAGTAATCTCTCGGCAGGAATGCTCCCCAGCTGTTTTGCTTCAATTTCTTGTCTACAGAAGGATATTCAATTTATTAACAAAAATATTTATTACAGGTCTAAAGAGTGTTTTTTTTTTTTTTAGAATTCCTGATGTTTCAGACCCTTGACAGACTCTGTGGTCACAAAAAACTCAATATATCTAGCTAACAAAATTTAAATGAAGGAAATGTAAAATCCATAATATTATTACCTGAAAAATGGTTTTCGTCTCAAGAGTTGCTCAGTGTCTCCGTAGTCTGTGATGCCACGAGGCCAGTCGTGTGAAAGCATGACATGAACTTTATCCTTCAATTGACTTAATCGGAATACATCTAATGATCTTACATGATAGACAGACCGTAAAGAACTTTGATTATATGGAGGGCATTCCCATAATCCTTGCAAATAATCATGCCCTTTAAATATTCCAGAAATACCTGTAATAAGATTATGAAATTTACACACATTATTCATTATGATGAAAAGCTGAGTAATTTTTAATATGCTGTAAGTATATATTATTAATATTAGTGTCAGCAAATCTCAGCTTTAGCAAATTATACCACAATTTAAAAGATTTCTTCTATTAATTCATTAGGAGCAAAGGAAAGTATTGAAATTATTGACCTCCTATTCTAAGGTTTCCAAATTTTACAACCCCAGCTCTGCCCATGTAGAAGATATTAGGTGCAACCCAGCCACCATAAGGGAGCTCCTGTAAGTAATTGGATGCTTCATGGTTTCCACCAATGAATATAGTTAAAATGGGCGCTCTCTTCTCCCCGCTGTAATACCTAAAACAAAAACATAACCTATAATATGAAATTTTTAGAATGAGATTTCATTAAAGCAACATTTGTTATCACTCCTAGGTACCTTCAATCAAATTAAACGTACAAATATTACTACTCCAAAGCAAACATTTCAGTAATTGTCTTACTTATAGAAGGTGCAAATATGTTGATATTTTTCAGGCACTGCCATCGCGCGTAAGTCGCCATTATTACGTACAGCTTGAAAATCACCACAACAAATTAACAAATCAATTTTTATCTCTTCTCTTTGCTGTAAAGTTTCTATACAATCGTATATTTTATCCAACTCTCCATGAGCACAACCTTCTATCGCTATTTTCATTGTATGATATACAAATAAAATTAACTTTATTTGAAAGTAAAAATATATAGGATTACCTCCTTATGTTTGATTTAACTTAAAATTGCTAGAAATACCACGAAAATATTCACAAACTAAACCAATACAATTTCTCGTCCTCCCTCGGCTAGCATCACTAAAGTTTGGTTCACTCACTCACAGACTAATTTATTTTGGTTTGGTTCAGTGTTGCCATCAAGTTTGAAAGAGTTGCCGTATTCCATATATCAGATGTCGTATATTTAAATAAAAATCATGATTTTGCCGTACATCCTAATTTTATTTATTAAAATTTATAGGTAAAATAATATTATTTATACGGCAATGACAAACCTTCCGTATGCCGTATAATCTGAAATTATGAGCTCAAATTGCCGTATATTACGGTAATTGCCGTATCAATGGCAAAGCTGGTTTGGTTTGTGTTTTTTTTAATTTTTTTAATTAGAAGTTAACATAGCCAAGATACATGTCCATAAAGCCGAACACATAGTACAAATACAAACTTAAAAAAAAAATGGGTGCGTGTACTTATGTAGGCGCGTGAGAAGTTATCCTTCTTTGGCATCGTTTAAAATTAGTTTTTAATTGCATGCAAGTAATTAATTACAATAAATTAATAAAAAGTCTGGAAAAGGACACAGTCAATAAAGTTCAGTTTTAATTTGAAAAAATAAATAAATAATCAAAATATTCAATTAAAATCGCTACTGAATATAATTTATTACAACATATGTGATTTGCACTACTTGTACGTATTTGAGTTTCATACAGAAACTCGTATTCCGAATATACAAACTAGAAACATGTGGATAAATATTATAAATATGAATACCTATAACTGTTACTTTATTACAAAAAATAAAGATGTGGTTTTTGGTTCTACTACACCAATGGTCAAGAGATGGCGCTGTAGTCTCCTGAATCGCGCTTTGGTTCCGTTTTTCCAAATTAATAAATACTTTTGATAGGCCTTCACAATGCAGTCGTTAGCACCCACTAAATAGAGATTCTATTTCTATTTTGTTGGTAGATTTTCTTAATGTGCGGTAAACACAAAAGTAACAGCATGAAGTTGGTCGCTAAAGCGACCAACTTCATGCTGTTAATTTTTTGTGTTACAGTGATGCGCGCGCATCTTAAAATTTCACTCTCATCATTTTTTCATAACGCGCCTAAGGGTGCGGCCAGAGTGCACTCAGATTCAGATTCAGATTCTGAAAACAAGCGCGAGAAATAAACAGTGTAGTCTAAGCAGGTTGCCTGCTTTTTCTCGCGCTTTGTTTTCTGAGTCTGAATCTGAATCTGAATCAGGAGTGCACTCTGGCCGTACCCTTCGGGTGCGGCCAGAGTGCACTCAGATTCAGAGTCAGATTCAGATTCTGAAAACAAGCGCGAGAAATAAACAGTGTAGTCGAAGGGTACGGCCAGATTGCACTCCTGATTCAGATTCAGATTCAGACTCAGAAAACAAAACGCGAGAAAAAGCAAGCAACCTGCTTAGACTACACTGTTTATTTCTCGCGCTTGTTTTCGAAATCTGAATCTGAGTCTGAATCTGAGTGCACTCTGGCCGCACCCTTCGACTACACTGTTTATTTCTCACGCTTGTTTTCGGAATCTGAATCTGAGTGCACTTTGGCCGCACCCTAAAGAAGTATAACTTCAATAAAATACAAACGTGAGATGCGTGAAACAGATTACTGACAACTTAAATTTTGACGCTGACATTGACAGCGATAGAAAGAAAGAAAGGGAGTTTTTGACGGGATTTCATCGAGTGTGGTTGGCGTCTTAAGTCCTCTACGCACTATACATCTTGCTGGATCCAGCATGCGGGACAGCGCTATACGCGTAAAAGAGATCTTGTATCTCCATCTCTTTTACGTGTAAAGCGTTGTCCCGCATGCTGGATCCAGCAAGATGGATAGTGCGTAGAAGACTTTATTTTAATTATTCTTAAATTCCTTCATAGTGGATATTGTGAAATAAAATTGGTGTGATTTTGTGTTACAACTGTCTGCGTAACTGAAGAATTAGTAGATTCGTCAAAATATACGCTATTGCGGTCAAGTGGACGTGAGAATTTTATTGAAGTATTGACTACCTCACAGAAGCTTATCGAAAAAGCCAGCCCGATACATTTCGTGCCAAACACTTCAAGAAAAATTAGAATACGTCACACCGACATTCTAATGTAAAAAGAAAAACAGAATAATTTAACTAAAGACTAGGCTGTATGGGCATTGTTCCCCTTACCTTCCCTGAAAAGGGAGAACGTAAACAAAAAAAGGAAAGAAAGTAAACAATGGAATAAAAATAAAATAACCTAAAAAAAGAAAAAAGGCGGGAAACGTTGAACTTGGCGGGCGCGTTTTTTGGCTTTGGTGATTTTAATTTATTATTTAGTCTTAAAAGTGATCAGAATTGTATATTTGTATATAAGTTGTATGTAATTTTGTATATATTTCATATTTTTTGTACATAGAAGGAGCTTAGGTAAGTTGCATAGTTTTTATTAATGAACGATCCCCCTGATGGGGGGCAGCCGGGGGACAAAGTTCCCCCGGCTGGACTTTATATTACTGTTTCCAATGAATCTGGCATGGAAACAGATGGATCAATTAATGGACGTACTTTGAAACGCAGTCGCATACACGTATGCAAGCAATGCAATAAAAAACGACGCAGAAACCAAGGTTCGGAAATGAATAGTTGCATATGTCATGAATTATCACCGAAAAAACCCTCTTTGCCTCAAGTCGAATGTTCAGAAAAGTCACAAGACGTTTCTGATACTCAATCATCTTCCACTGTTCTTCAACCCACAGTTACTCCTTCTCCCATAGGTCGCAACCTCTATACTTCTACTGATAATTCTCCATTTGTGGTACATGTTCATAAAATACAGAATGAGCCAAATGATAACGCATCAATACATCCTGTGTCATTTGGAAACTTCCTTAAAAAGAACAAGTTCGATAACATTGTTAATGGTAGTGTGAAACTTATCGGCCGTAATAAAATCACATTATCTTTTTCAACTCACTTGGCAGCTAACTCCTTCATTTGCAATAAAATTTTAGAAGCTAACAGAATGAAGGCCTTTATACCTACATTTAATGTAACACGGATGGGTCTAGTTCGTGGTGTTCCTGTGGAATGGTCCCCTGAAGAGATAATAGAAAATATTTCAGTGCCTATTGGTTGTGGTAAAATAATCAAAGTAAGGCGTATTAATTATAAAGTTTACCAAGAAAGCTCTGTAATCTGGAAGCCCACTCAATCAATTGTTGTTACTTTTGATGGTCAAATTCTCCCTAAACGGATCTTTATGTGTTACAATTCATTGCCTGTGGACTTATATATTTACCCAACCATACAGTGTTATAACTGCTGCCGCTTTATCCATACAAAAACACAATGTAGATCAAGACCGCGATGTTTCAAGTGTGGTGGGAATCATGTAGGTGATTCTTGTGATACAGAAGAATGTGAAGCTTTCTGTTGTTCATGTGAAGGTACACATTTTGCTACAAATAAATCTTGTGCAGAGTATATCCGCCAAAAAGAGATTAAAGTCTACATGGCTAATAACTGTGTTTCGTATGTTGAAGCCTCCAAGTCTTACCCTAGAATTAGTAAATTATATTCCAATGTTACCTCCAACAATTTTGCCAAATCCTCTACTCTCAAAACTATTCCATCCAACATTGAATCTAACAATAAACCTACAACTTCATCATATAAAAAGACTGTATTTTTAAAGCCTTGTGCACCACCAAAACAACTTCATGGCTATGATACTGAATCTCACAAGGCTCTTATTAAGGATTATGACTGTCCTTTACCTTCTGATGGTTGTTGATTCAGTCATCAGGATGTAAATAAGTCTCAAATGTCTATTAATGACATAATCCAATTACTGCTCTCTTTTCTAGCTCATTTTAACACTAACTCACAATCTACTTCTCCTTCACCGTCCAACGCTGATTCTTTAATATCAAATTTAATCAAAGTTCTTCAAAATGGACAACAAAGCTAAAATCATACAATGGAATTGCAGAAGTATTCATAACAAAATAAGTGATGTAATTTTCCTTCTTAATAAATATGATCCTTTTATCTTTGTTTTATCCGAGACATGGCTAAAATCTCATCATAAGCTAAAAGCTTATGGATATATTGCTCTCCGTGAAGATAGGCATGATGGCTGCGGTGGTGTAGCTATTCTCATTAAAAAATCAGTCCCTTTTACTCCTATTTCTTTACCCACTCATCATGAAAATATTTCTATAGTGGCTGTTAAGATCTATAACATATGTTTTGTTTCCATATATATTTCTCACCCTTCTATAAACATTTTAAATGAAGTAAATCAAATATTAAATACATTACCTAAACCTTATATGGTTTTAGGTGACTTTAATTGTCACCATCAAACATGGGGGAGTTCCATTACAAACAATTATGGGGAAATATTATTAGATTTTATTGACAATTTAAACATCTGCATTTTGAACACTGGTAGAAACACTCGAATAACAAAACCTGGACAAAATAATAGTGCAGTTGATTTATCTTTATGTTCACCAAGTCTTGCATCTGGCGTAACATGGGATACACTTTCTTCTTGCTATGGTAGTGACCATTATCCAATTATAATATCCTTTCCTTTTTCTAAACCTGTAACCACTCGTCGCATTTCTCATCTCAAACATAGACTTCCAAATAAAGAAAGTAAAGACTGGGAGAAATTCAGGCTTTCTGTTCAGGCAAAACTATCCTCCCTTCCGCATATACATTGTGGAACTGAGCCGGCAGCTGCAGATGAATTAAGTAAAGTTCTTTATGATGCTGCTAATGAGACTTTCCCACAAAAAAGCTCCTCTAATAAAATTCCATCCCCTCCTTGGTGGGACAGCGATTGTACTCAGGCTGTAAATGAAAGAAAAGCTGCTGAGAGAAGGTATAAAGCAGAT